GATGTTCTGTTAAGCACATGTTACAAGCACAGTCTGAGCTGTTACATGCACATTTGTGCTGTTATACGCAAAAATTTATTAATTGCCAACGTTCCGATAACCAAATCGGAATGCGTCAGCTGCTTACACCAAAACGAAATTTGTTGTTGCTGTGGCCAATTTTTTCCGAACCAAATTTTAGGTTGCGTTAAAATAAAATTATTTATAAAGAAAGCACAAGTTAAATTACCCTGATATAGGTATCAAGTTTATGTTAATGCATCAATAAGTCATCTATTTTTTTCCTTTTGCAATTAAGGTTCGTTTTGTTGTATAAAAAGCCGTTTACTTTTCATTTCGTCAACGAAAATGTTTTCGTTTTGAAAACGAAGAAATCTTGCGGAATGGGAAAAAGAGAGCCCCAATTTATGTGATTTCAAAAGTAAATCGGAAAACTTTTGTGAATGTGAAAAACGGAGCCTGGCTGTATACTACAAAATCTTATTCCGGATCCGTAATGTCTTCTTCTAGGCCTCTGTGCACAGCACAGGCCTGCGCATAGGTTATGGTTGGCGCAAGGGTTATGGTCGGTGGAGGTTATGTAACCGGGCAGGTGAAATTTTCTATCGATTTCCCAAAGGAGAAAAACTCGGCCCCATACCAAGGTCGGCTCACGAAGAGTACTCCCATCAAGGGTGGGAGTTTAGTGTGGGCGCAGAACTTTGGAGGAGCTGCGTGGGCTGCCGATTGTGGCCAGGGCCCTACGGGCGAAACAGAAACAAAACCGGCTGAACCGATTCGAGTTTTTAAAAAGAAAATGAGTTTGTGCTTTTGGACTGCTTAAATAAATTTCGCACTTGCGAAAGCTGAGTTCAGCTATTCCCTAACTCGAGCTTCCATGCACCCACCCCAAGTATGCTATGACCTGCATCTCTAATTGCCACAAGGTTATTGCATGCGATATGCCCGAGAACCATAGCAATAACCTTCGTTGGATCTGGACCGTTACACCACGCTTACTGCTCTCATCGTCCCATGATTCGGATTATTAACCGTAAGAAACCGTACATCTCATTGCCCAATTGAAATTATATAAAATAAAAGACAACATTACCCATACTTAATAAATAACGAATGTAGCATTCATATAACTTAGAAAAGATTATATAATCATATTAGTTTAGTTTGACTCAACCAAAACCAATGTGACATCTAGTGACTAGTGCTCTAATTATAAGCCCCTTTCCTGTAGCACTAGGAATGCCAAATTAATAATAGTAATAATAATAATAATCAAGTCTGGCAGACAATATATCCGATTGGAATACTCCACCCAATATACAGCTAGCAGATTGTGCTTTTTTCAAATTTTCACCGGGTAGATCTCCTGATTGGTGTAAACGTTTGTTATGATCTCTTCTGCGTAGGGCAAATGAAGCGCACCGATGGTCTGCCGAAGGTCCGGCTTGGGTGGATCGTATCTGGCGGTGGACAGAAGGTAGCAGCTCAGCTTTTTTGGCAAAGCCAAAAATATTTATTGCCTCATCACTTTGTCTTAAAGGAGGACAGTACGACGACAAAACTCCAAGTCGTTTTCGATGGATCCGCACGATGGATTCGTAAGTATGTCTCCACCAGTGTATCCTCTGGCGAGATTCCATCCAATCCGAGATTCAAGTCACATTGGAAACCGTAACTTAATATTAATGGCAATACTAAACTTGGGAAATCGTACTCTAGTCATCAGGAGGTACTTGGGGGAACCCCTAGGGATGATATAACGATAGCGATATAACTAAAAGTCTTGGCTTAGCATTGAACCCTGCTTCATATCAGTTGCTTTTTGTTTTGCCCGCACTGGACACAAACTCTATCTACGAATGCGCGTTTATACGATCCTCTTGAATTGGGGTATCCTGTTATTGTCAGGTGCAAGATCTTCCTTCAGCAGCTTTGGAGAGAACATTTGGATTGTGATGCAAGCCTACCCGCAGCGTTGCATTCAACTTGGATGGGCATCAGAAACAGTTTGGCAAGCATCTATCGGATTTCATTTCCTTGCGTGGTCCATCATTCTAGTATGGCTATAGGATCACGAATTTTGTGATGCCAGCATAGAAGTATATGGCGCGTACGTACATATGTATATATGTACGTATATATATGTCGTTTCTAATATCAGAAAAAATTGGTTTGGTTCACAGCTGAAAAAAAGGTTAAATTTTGTTTCCTAGTGTTATCTTAAAAAAACCGAGGAGTGATTTTGATAAAACAAACTGAAGTCAATCAATCTGTGGTTATTACATTTAGCAGTGCGGATAAAGAACTAAAAACTTAATTGCTAATGATTCGGAACAGCTGGTTTTTTTTTTTAAACTGTCAATAAGACGGGCATAAAACTTGTCATTGATATGATTATATCTGTCGTCGAGTCATAGCAATTCATATTCACAAAATGTTTCCGATATACTTTTGAAATCACATATATTTGCGCATAACAGCACAAATGTGCTTTTAAAAGCTCAGACTGTGCTTGCAACATCCGCTTAACAGAATATTTGGTGAGCACGGCTATTTCCCGCCCCATTTAATTCGGACTTCCAAATGTAAGTACAGCAAATTAATTTTTTATTTTAAAATTACCGATTTGTTCTCTATATCCTGGGGAAATCATAAATCATCTTTCTCCAACATCATATTGAAAATCTGTTTTTCGATCCGATTCAATTTTCATGCTGTTACTCACAGTTCGTCAGACATGTTAAATACACAAGTGTTGCATTTAAGACGTCTGGATCTTCTTAGATCACGTAATTTTTTCCGTCGTTTTGCTTAAAAAAAGCAATTGAAAAAATAAAAGGCATTTTAATCACGCTGTATTTTTACAAAGCAGCCAGGTCAGCCGTTTATGTTTGCCAGAAACGATTAAAAATGAAACATATCGATAGCAAAAATATGTGAAAACTGGAACACTTCAAAAGGAAAACGAAACGTTTTGGCTGAAAACGCAATCCGCAAAAGTATGTGAAAACGGAGCCTGCCTGGTTGTGAAATATTTTGCATTAGGGCATGGACAATTCGGCCACTTGCCCTTAAATTGAGTCTTGATTTAGCACTCACTTCTCGCACTTCACATAATTTATATTTATTCTGATCCGACCACGTATTGAATCGATCAACTTACTCATCACTAAATCTGGCTATATTTCTGCCGCAATATTTATTTACTATTTGCTACGATAAACCATATTAAACTAAACAACCATCGAATTATTATTAAATAGATCGTAAACTACTCTGCTGAGCAGCTCAACAGTAACAAAATGAGCTTTTGTTTTTTTCGTTGCACAAAGATTGATTTGAAACGTTATAAACTTTATTGTATGTATAAATGTATTTTATATGTGAAGGGTAGCCAAAGATGCCAAAGCCTTTAACAATATTAGTTTAGCGAATTATATACATACTTAGTTGCGGCAAGCAGCCCGTTTAACGACGCCGTACGGAACAAGTGTCGAAAAAACACCATACTCTGACAAATTTGAAGGCTTCAGCGGCCGAGGTTCTTGAGCTGCCGCATGTTAGCAGAAGCTGTAGAACTGAGTCGAAATAAGTTAAATGATGTTGCTGTCGAGAAGTCGTTGGGAGCCAGTACAACCCTTTTTTTAGCCACTGTCTGTTTTCATAATATTACAACCCCTACCAAATTAAACATGTACATGTAATTACATACATATGTATTCAGAAGTTTTTGCTTTTTTTATTATAACAACTTTTGTAACACATAGATAGCTTCTTTGTAGCCGCCAGGTGCTGGTCGGGATCCGAAGTCTGGGGTAGTCGATTACACTATGTATGTATGTACATATGTAATAAATAGTAAATATAACTATGGAATCAGATTTGCTGCTTCCATTAGATTTGGGGCTCCTGGTTTATGGTTACAATTAAGGTTTGAATTTGAACCATAACTCCGTGTGCCAAAGTAAAACTTTTGGAATGTACTACTTTGCACAAGACAATTGTATGCCTGGTTGAGTAGATCACATCCACACGCTTCGAACTTGGAATATGCAGCCGGTTTTCGCACTTTTGTGATTACGATTTTGGAAAAATTCGTACGAATTCCGGTTTTTGCAACTTCTTTTATTCAATAGAGCTTAATAAATTTAAAAAAAAAATTCTTTGTTGTTTGGAAATTAAAATATTTTAGTTAAATATTTATTTCGTTTTCGGAGTCGTATTATATGAAATAAAAAAAAATAAAAACTTGTGAATGAAAAGACAGACATCTGTAGCCACTGCCAACTATTGATATCGATATATATCGGTCATCGGGTAATCGCAAGTTTTTGTTGTTTGGTGTGATTATATTTGATTTGATTGTAAATCATTTTATTATATATTAAAAGATACGCTAACATAAATTTCCAATTATTTATACGATATGTCAATTTAAAACACAAGCAAAGATGTAGGTTAATAATTTTTTCAGCAATGCAATGTGCAATTCATTTTTGAAATACACGCATAGAAAGCTCATTACCAACCGGTTTTGAATTGTTAATATCCAACGATTTGCGTAGACCGGAGGATGCCAATTTGCGATTCGACGTTAATTGGCAATTTTTTGGGACTTGGGAAAATCGGAGCATGGCTTATACCGGCAAAATTTGTTTAAAAAAATTGAAAACCCGCTTTTGGTGACTTTTTGGAATTTCATAATATTCATTCGACATCTAAAGTCCTAATATTCATTATAATTATGGTTTGTTAAATAAATGTATAGCCTTTCATTTAATTTTTAGTTCTTTTCCATAAAACGGCCTTACAAATTATTTCTTGGGCTTTATTTTTGTTCTTTGATACGTACATATAAGGTGAAGCCGTTTGAACCATTTAACGTTGAATTCCGTTACTGAAATACGACCGTTTTTTCATACAAAATACTAAATTGTGAGTTTTAACGGTCGTTAAAGATAAAATGTATGTTGGGTGGGTACCTTACGGTATTGAACGATAAACAGTCGTTCTGGTTTGAAACGTAAATATGTTTTTGCATAGTGATAGAAAGCTGTAGATGCCGACTTGAAAAACGTAAAACTGCACTGCCACTAAATTAAAAAAAAAAATTTGGTTTATATTGTATCCTAATTTGTATCTCGTGCTAAGTATTTTTTATTACAGTGTATTACTATTGTTATTCAATAAACATTTATTGACCCCCAAGTAAATCAGAAAACTTCGGTTTGCGCAAAAAAATTCACTCTATCATTCCAATATGTAAAATAACCAATATCCAAGATTGAATGCAAGAAAACTGATAGGAAATATCATCCTCGAGTACTTATCAATTATGTTCACATCTTTGATCTTCGGTATAGTGGCTTTGATGGCAGATGCGCTTTTTTTTATTGCATGCAACATGCGAGGTCTAGTTGAGATTCCTGAATACATAATGTAAAAATTAAATGCAACTCAATAATTGAAGTAGCTTACCCCTCTGTGAACGATGTCGCAGTTGGTTACGTGCAGTGCCATAGTTGCGCGTAATTCGAAAACTTGGCGGAAACTTGGTCAAGTTTAAGGTCTCGGTGCCAATTGAGCCAATAGTCGCATTATAATTACTTTTCCGTAACGAAGGTATGGGGCTCATGCGTACATCCTGAAGCTCAATTATGTCTTCTGTCGTTGAACACGTTACAGATCTTTCACTTTTACCTATAGATCATGATTATATTCAAAGATATTTTATTAATGAAAGGCATCTCAAATTTAAATTTTGTTGACTGTTTTATTGTTTGTAATGGACTCTTACAGACAGGAATGGCACACGTTTTATATGGTATATTAAATTTTTTCAAAAAGTTAAGTATAATTTAAAAGTTACCTATCTTTTGTCGATCACAGTCCTTGAGTTTCTTTATCTTTTTTTTTGCTCGTTTTCCCCAGTACGTGTAGTTAACGGCCGCATATTCAAGAAGCGCGGCAAAGACGAATACGAAACACATCACAAGGTAGATATCAATAGCCTTTACATAAGATATTCGAGGCAATGAACTACGAACGCCAGTGCTGATCGTTGTCATAGTCAGCACCGTGGTAATTCCCAAAGCAACCCTTGCACTTGTCGCCTCGTGATTAATCCAAAATGAAACCCATGACAGCATGACGATTAGTATGCTAGGAAGATAAGTCTGAAATACAAAATAACCGATGTTTCGTTGCAATTTGAATGAAAGGGAGAGGCGCTGATACACTCCAGTGGCGAGCCGCTCTTTCCGATCATTTGTTTCATAACCAATAATAGTGAACTGGGGCAGTTCTGCGTCTTCCACACCACGCACTGGTGTTGGCTTCCAGTACATGACCACATCGCTGACCGTATATCCATCTGCGTATAAGATTGCAGATAATTATTCATTTGAGCCCTATATATTAATACTAATATTATATTATAATTATTGTCAGTGTATTAATAATTGATAATATAATAATAAAATTAATAATATTAATATCTAGTAGATATAAGATTTAAGATACAAGAAATTAAAATGTATTACCCCAAGCTATAAGATACATATATTCCTGCACTCCATCTTATCTCTTTCTTTCTTCGTTTATTTATTCGATCGCAACGTGTTTCTGTGTTCTAACTTTCTTTTGCATCCATATAAACTAAAAAAAATTTTAATTTACTTTTTTATAGGGTCTTCCCAAGAACGTGAACAAAGCTGTCCCAACTCAAAAGATGATATCTGAATTTCTTGAGTTCCATGCATATTTTAAAAAATTGGTAGCTTCTTTTTAATTTTATGTCATCCTCAGCTAAAGCCTTTTATTCAGATCAACAAAATGTTCGGAGGCCGCCAAATTCGAATACACGCTATTAAGTTTATATGTATGCATTTGTGAATTTTAATGGAACAAAGTTTGATGGCAGGAAAAGGTATCTTTTTGAATACGAGTTTTCATACAATAGAGATACAGATTCATACAAGGGATTTCTGGTACTATTTTCAAAATGTGGTTGTAAAAAAATATCGTGAATTGATGGAGCTCTCCTAACGCCCCAAATAGGAATACAGATTTGATGGATCAGATCGGATTATTATTATAGCCAGTGTTTAGAGGGGGATATCATTTATATCTCACTAATTTTGAATAATAACGAACGAATTAGTTATTCAAATATATTAAAGGTTTATTGTAGGTGTTCAATTCCATCAGCGCGACCCGTCTGCAGCAACAGCCGAAAGCTCAGATCAAATGCAAGAGCGATAAAGGATAAGCCAGAGCCCAAGCTTTATCGAGGCTATAGCAAAAACTAACAATACTGCTCGATGGTATTTACTTGAATATAATTCTTCGTCGTTGTGCCCCGAACATCCTCCCCCCCGTTGAAAGTGCATGGCTTTCAACCTATCCAGCGTTGACGGGTAGGCAGGCTAGCTTCGCAACGCGACTCTGATGATTCCAGTTCAGTTTGTCTCCAATCACGTGCTCAGCCAGCCTTGGCTTTGTCCGAAAGCATCGGACATCATTTGCTAATGACGCTTGCCCTCCAGCAGGCCTATATTTCTCACGAAGCGATGCAAGTAAGGCTTGTGGACCAGCATGCAAGAACCTTTCATGAAAGATCGGATGACACTTCGGAAGCAATAATGTGTGCTTTGCATCGTAATCTCTATTAGAATTTTCAAGCCTTACGCCTAAGCGAAGCAGTCCACCACCGAGAATCCAGCGAAAGCGAAAGCTCTTGGCAGGATGTGCTATACTGGCGTGGAACTCCTTAGCAAAATGATCTTGGTGTATACTCTTTAGCTAGCACCGTCTAGCTCCTGCACGGTGAGCGTAGCACTTGATCGAACGTATTCCTTTGTTCAAAGGGAGAGCTTGCAAAATAATAAAAATAATTCTGAATATTTGAGATGTCACATTGCCGACAAAGGTTCAGGCAGTTCAGGCCATCCATATTTTGGCTTTGGTGCTAGGTGCTATCAAACCGAGCGGATCATAGAATCTGGCTATGATGGGTTGGCCTTCTGGCATGATTTGCGAAAAATTAAACTGTAGGTTGAGTTAGGATTCCATACCCCAACGCCTTCGCTATGTCTGTTCCATCATGTAATTTGTGCAGTTTTTCTCTGTCTTCCTCAGGCTTCTCCACAAGTACTTTTGGCTCATTGGAGCTCCATTTGCGTCATTTACTTGACCACGGATCACATTCATCTCTTCAATTGTGTCACCACCAGATATGATTTCTTATACATAGTAATCCCGTAGTACGATAACTGGTTCATGGCACGACTTGTTAAAAAGAGTAGCAGCTTAGCTTGAAAATCTTGTTTTCGTCAGTAGACTTTTCTTGCCAAAGGAAGCATTTCAGATATTCAGCTGGGTGAGACATACACACTAAGCCAAAGCAGTGTGTTGAATATTTTTGGCAGAATGGTTGGGCCAGTCATTGAGGAAGCGCCAAGATGTGGTCTTTGCAGATCCATTGAAAACAAAACCTAGTTTTGTACTGCTACTAACGAGGTTTCGCAAGCAATGATTCGGCAAGAAAAACTGCGCACAATTTTCGGTGTTAGTAGTTAACGAAATGTGCTCTAAGTCCAGATATTCCTGAAGGAACGCGATATTTTGAGCTTTCAGCAGAGGGTTTTTTTACAAGTTTATCTACAGACCTTTGAATCGACGAAGAGCGAGATAGAATGAGTCGCCAAGAACCTCAAAACCAGCACTAACCAAGAGTTGAGCCCCAAGAGTCAAGAGAAAATGTACCATTTTCCAGACGAGAATAGTTTTTCTTTAACAAACGCTCGCAGAGTGGATCCTCACTAGCTGTAGCTACCTCCGATGACAAAAACAGTTTTCAAGCCCCCTAAAACGCTTCACAGCCTTAGACGGAGAATCTTCATCCTTTAGTACAAAGGGTCAGCCAAATTTATATTCTTCGGTACATTTTATCCCGCAGCATTAGTATCCGAGCTCAGCTACGATTCTCCAATGCCAATCAAAACGTTCAAATGCCGATGATTTCATTGCAAAATGATGGCTGTAGCTAGCAACTCGTCGTTCAAGATACTGGGAATAGGTGGAGGTTGAAGTGGTGAGGTTGAGCATGAAATCAATGCAGATGTTTGATGTTGCCGGACGCTCACGTCTGCTGAAATCACTGAGGATGCAACCGGGTTTGAAGTCATATGGAGCAACGTATGATGCTTCCTTTGACACAGCTTGCAACTTCCAGGCTTGTACTGCTGCAAACCGTGGCCATTGCGCAGCCAATTAGCCAATTTGCGGCCTGATGGCTTTTTCCCGATTTTCGATCATCCTGATCGCTATTCCAAAATATCGCCTTTACGTGTGCCTGAAAATTAAGGGTTCCATAGTTCGCATCGGATTTTTCGAGTGAACGTATAGTTTCTACTGCTGGCCCGTTTAGGCTAGCACGTAGATACTGGAATTTTGGCCAACTACTTAGCTCTTGCTCATTGTCCTCCACAGTCCTAAAAATATAAAAGAAATTTGTCCATTCTGCGAAGCCTCCATTAGAGATAGACAATACAAAATGCAGTGGCCTTGATTTCAGAGATAAAATGTTCTCCGCTAAAAAGGTGAGGCATGGTAGTTGAGTTTGCCTTGCTCAACTGCCTCTGATGTGCGGATAACTAACGATTTAATTTGGCTTCGATATCCAAGCATACCGTCGCAAAATCGATACTCGCGTCAACGGCGATCTTCGTCAGATCAAGTCTTTCCAAGCTGCTCTGAGCAGCGTTGAATTCAGCGCGCATTGATTCGCTATGCTTTAGTTACGCGCGTAGGTCAGCCTCGTCAGACTAACCCATGAAATCATCAGTAAGAAATACCTTCATCGCAACGAGTTGCCGCTGGATAGACCTCGTCTTGACATTCTTCACAGAAACAACAGAGGCATTACTAAAGTTTGCAAGGGCCCAATATAACTCGTTGTGTGCGGGCCAGACGAAAAACCAAGTGACGAAAAACCAATGGTTCCAATATGTGTTCTTGTTTTTCCTCAGCTTCTAAGGGCTTTGCTCTGCGCTTGCACTAACACACGCGTAACCAGAACCATTTCTGAACGGGGTATTGCATGTGTGTATATTATGTGTTTGATCGCGAATAATAACGATATAGGTAATTTGATTATTAATACCGTGGTGCAGGCTCCAAATCAAGTCGGTGTCACCAGAATGTTTAGAGTGCAATATAAATTAGATCACCTTGATATTAAATAATAACGCACGAATTAGCTATTCAAATACATTAAAGGTTTATTGAATGTTTCTGGTCGGAGCTTCACTAATTCCATCAGTACGCCCGGCGATAAAAGATAAAGCAGAGCGCAATCTTTGGCGGGGAGAGCGTTTATAGAGAGATATACCAAACAGGCAATAGGAAAAACAAACAATGATACTCGATGACATTTACTTCAAAACAATTCTGCGTCGTTTTGCTCGAATTAATTGATTAATTGCCATAGCTACCTGTTCCCTGCCACGCGCTTACTATCTCGATGCGATCTAATGTGATAGTTTAGAGGTATTTTTTAAGTGTTTCCTGAAAAACGGTTTCGATGCTCTTGAACCTTTCTACTTTCTCTATAATTTATATTCCTCCTTTGTGTACCTAACACTGTCCCATAGCAATGTGCCTATATAATAACTACTCACAGCTAACAGAAACTAGTAATCTTTCAACAGCGATGGATGACCTCGAAATCATTTTTATCGATTCCCAACCGGAATCAACCATAAATCTTGACTATCAGCCGAGCTCCGTAGACCTGTACCTGATTTTTGGGATTAAGACCCAAACCTATCTCGAGAGCAATCTCTATAACTTCAACTGGTTAAGTGATATTAAATGGGATGATGACGACGATGACCTAAGGAATGCAACGCCTAATAATGATAATCCATGATAGATTTTCCCGGATGATGACAACATTTTCGATTTAGTAGATAATCAGGACGATGATAACAGATCTCGACTCCAGGAACTACTTCGAGACGAAGATGATGATGACTTAATTGCTGCGGTAAAATTAACTGAGGCGAAATTTTATAATACGAATACATATTTATATAATAAGAATATTTTATGTATTTTTCTAAAAATAATATTGTTTGAGATGCCAAGCTTTTTTTGCACCTATGTCTTTCAAAAATGAAAAGAGATTTTGGGTTAAACTTTATAATTCG